AAGCAACATTGCTAACTGATTAGTAAATTTGCTCGACAACGCACTGCAATGCTTTTCAAATGCTACATGCTACAATAGTAAAGACTATATACATACTGAATGAGCTGTGGGTAACGATGGATCATAGTTGATATTCTGATTGGAATCTTTCTTTTTATCTTTTTTCTTGTCATTAGAACTTTTTTTCTTATCTTTTTTTCGATCAGTGTCTTCCATCATTTCAACTTCTACCTGTTCTGCATCCACTTCATTTTCTTGAATGAAATAACAAAAAGTTTTTTCAGTTAATTACCTGTACTTTGTCCAGAGTTCAGACAGTATTTGGCGATCACATCTCGCAGTTTGTTGATCCATGTGCTTAAGATATATGTACGGGTGATATAAGATGAAGATCATATAATAGAGATTATTAATCTTAACAAATCCTCATCTAATATATTTCTTGGATCTAGTTATTATACGAAAATTATGGGTTGAAAGTTGTCACATTGATCATAAGCTTACATTTACTGTCAAATAAAGGATGACAAATAAAAAAATACTTTATTTCAACCACTCAGAAAAATTGACATTTCTAATTTGGTTGTATCAGAAATAAAGTTAATGAAAATACAATAAAAGTTTTGATAAGAATAAAAGATAAAATAAGGTAATTGAAAAGATAATAAAAATTATTTTATTTTATCCCTAATTTCAGATAGTATGATAATGCATAATATTGTGGTGTTTTCATTTGAGTATAAATTGTTCTTTGTTATCAAACTTTGCAAATTTGAGTTGAATAGTGTGTTTCTTTCTTTGTTAAATAATTTAGTCTGATGGTGTAATTTATCTTCTATTACATTGCAATGAGAACAAATTCTGTTTTCTACTAATGAAGAAAAGCGCATGCTGGTTAGCAAAAATAACGACACAGTTCAGACTATTGACACATAATATACATTTCCGCATTGAAATAATTGTTGGAGTCTTTGTGCATGATGTCACATGCAAAAGGGTATTTGACATAATTAAAATCTTCTTAATAATGAGTTAGTTCACTGAAAAACGTAAAATTCCTCAGAAGAAATTAAATGCATCACAAGAAAACTAACAAAATGAACTACATTCAAAAGACAATTGCTAATCTAAAACACCTATTCCAATACTATATGGCAAGAATAACAATGTTTAAAATACAATCATACTTGGCAATCATATCTACTGATGCAATAACATAAACAAATATTCTACGGCTTACTAATAATTTAAAGCCAGAAAAAGAATGTTTCAAAAATTAACAAGGTGTTGCTGTCCCAATAACACATACTAGCATTTTTTTTTAAAAAATTTAGCTAGTAAATCAGTACTAGTGTTTTTCTTTATCATTATAAATTTGAATTTATAGTTCAGACTAATAGCAAAAAAAGTTAAATAATATAATGACAAGGTAATTTTCATAAAGTTTATCACCTTATACTCTTTACACAATGACATGTAAAAATAATTGCCGAGGAATGTGTTCACGTGACCATGTTTACAAATATACATAGATTCATAAATAATACAATTCTAAGTTACGCACTTTCTATGTGCGTATCCAGAGATTATTTCTCGTCCAGTGTTTACATCTGTCTAATGTTCCAAGCACGAATATGCATGATACATGTTGAATACTAGTGACCGAGTGTGCAAAATATGCGGACATAAATTAAAATGCATACCGTCTTCAGAAGATTGTCCTTCTCCGTACAGATCAAGTCCAAGCAAAGGTAACAAATCGTCAGCCATATTTATTTATTTCGAAATACCGCGAGATTGTGCGAGACTATGCGAGAAATCAGTAGGGTTTCTATCACGTGTATACTTTTCAGCCAATCAAATATTGAGTCGTGTCTCACAGCAGTTACTTCCGTGTTCGGTGGGATGTACAGTTATTTACTTCAAAATCATTTGGTAGGGTGGATTTGCGCTAGCTGAAAGACGGATTTTGTTCTTTTATATATTTCGGTGAGTATCTGATCTTCAAAAGAGACGTGCACGTCCCGCATGGGACAGTGATCCATTGAAAATGTGTGAATTATTATTTAGACAGACAAAATCAACTTGAAGTCGGATACGTTGCAACTCAGCAACACCGTCACATCCTTTTGCTTGCCTTGCAACCTATCGTTTTAACACGGTAACAGATTAGACGTGTATATGCTTACTGTCGCAACGAGCTACTATTTTAGCAAGTGATTTTTTTTTATACATGCCTTTCATACTTTCGTCAACTATTATCAAATTTACTCTGACATTTGCGGATTTATTGACCCTCGGGCACTGACACCCCGACAAAAAATACTGCAGCAGACGACCTCGAAACCGTGACAGATCGAACAGATGGCTAACAACTCGGTTGTTAAAGTAAAAATGTGCCATTCTTCGTCGCAGAGGCAGGGATTATGAATGATTCCTATGTGCCATATTCTATTATTCACGAATTTAAATATTGTGATTTGCGTAGTAATCCAGATTATCTCGCGCCAGGATTATTTTATATTTGTCAACGCAACAACTATGTTTTGGTGTACTTGCTTTAAATAGGTGTTTTAATTGACTTTTTTAAGAGATTATGCTAGTTGCTATAATGAGTTTGTAGAAAGCTTTTATGTTTTATTTTGTTTTTATCCACTAAATATTTCATTTTTCTTTCACAGTAAAACTAATTACAGCTCACAAATATGCAATATCAATGGGTTATAGTGGTTTTTACATGCGGAGCACTTTTCTGTGAGATGGTAGTTTCAAAAACTAAAGACTATTATGATATCTTAGGAGTACCAAAAAGTGCTTCGGAAAGGGAAATCAAGAGAGCTTTCCGTAAATTAGCGGTGAAATATCACCCCGACAAAAATAAAGATCCTGATGCTGAAGCTCAGTTCATGGAAATTGCCAAAGGTAAGTGAGAAAGTTGTTTTGTTTTTTAATATACAATATTCAAAATGCTTACTGATACTGGTACATGCAGGCAGTTACTGCTGTTGATAACTTGGCTACAAGTGTGTAAGCACCAGTTTAATTTACCAAACATTTTTTTATGATACTAATACATACATATACTTTTGTTGTTTGCTGTTCCCAAAATAGGGCCGCACTAGAAAATAGCTTTTTATAGCAGAGTTGAACTGCTTCCCATATGGAGCATATAAATATTCAAATATTTTTTTTTGTCTTGTATTCATGACAATAAATTCAGTTTCTCTAGATTACCATAAACTAACAGTGATTATATTTGCTACATCTAGATTAAAACAATCTGCCTTAATGATTCTTGCATTATTAGAAATAAAATAGCAATTTACTATCACCCAAATATTCTTGTGTTTAAATTTTTTTTTTTATAATGGAAATGATAAACAGCTGACTAATTTTATTTTTTTCATTGTGATATAATAGGCTTTATATTTAAATTCTTGTAAATTGTATTTTACAATCATTTAGACTTTAGATTTTATATCAATATCAGTTGTTGCTTGTTCTAATCACATGTCAACAAACACTGTAAATGCATATCACATTGTTTGGAGTGGTGAAACATTGTTGGCATGTAGTTATTTTAAAAATTATTATTTAGTCGCTCCGAAAAATTAGTTGGAATAAAAAAAAATAATCCTATCCAAAGAGAGTAAATATCCTGGATGAACAGAATTTCTCATAGCGTCCGTAACACTGTCACATCAACAACATTGGCATACTATGTGCGTGCAATGATATTCATATTTGGTGTTATTTCAGCAATAATTCTACATTTCAATTTTACCATTCAAAAAAAAAAAAATATGCTTGTGATAAATATATAATCCCAAAATATTATCTCTTTGGTTAATGTCAGCAGACTTAGGATTACCGCCTAAATAGCATACAATGTAAATCCTTGCCTTTGGCTTGGATTTATACAAAATCACTCCATCTTGTATCTGCTGATATTATTGTGAAGTTATATAAATAATTATTTTACGCACGTTGTATAACTGCACGAGACCCAAACATGTTGCATCACAATGACTGGCTTCTGTTGTCATAACACACCAGTTTTAAGCTTCTCTAACACTGACCTTAAAAAAAACTGCCAAGGTTAAACAAAAAATAGGAATTTCTTGAGCACATAACTGCAAAAAAAGTGAACATGAAACTGGTATTTATCAACCTTAAATACTTTTAATATCTGATTTTTAATTAATAACTTTTGTGTTCATTTTCATAGCCTATGAAGTGTTAGCAGACCCTGACAAACGAAGACAGTACGATCAATTAGGAGCTTCAGCATTTGAGGATAATGTGCGGAATGGTGGCGGCCAAGGTGGTGGATTTGATTTCAACTTCAATGATTTCTTTAAACATTTTGACAGCAGTGTCAAGACATTTCACGGACACAACCACCGAAATAAGAGAAAACATTCTGGTGAAGATAACATCTTTAATTTTGGGGGTGGAATGTTTGATTTTGGTGATATTTGGGATGATTCTGATTCTGATGATGATTTCGGCTTTGACATGTTTGGAGATATGTTTGGAAGTCAAAAGTTTGGAGGCGGGGATGGATTTCACTTCAATTTCCAGCATGGTCATCAGCAGCAGCACAATCACCAACATCGTGAGACGCATACAAAAGTGAGTTGAAACGTCTTTTTTTGATAAAGGATTCCATACCACTACGGCCTTGAAAATAAATATTCATGTTTCTGGTCCTGTGCACGACACAAATATTTTTTGACAGAATTTTAGAAATAATAGAGGGAAATTTATTTTTCAAGAAAGATCAAAATAAAAGCACAAATTTTAAAATAAATAAATAAAAAAATACACATGTACATGAATTTCACCAAACTGACTAGAAACTAATTTCTAGGTCCAGTCTTAACCAGATTTACCTGTCTGCATTGTACTGCCTTGTATCCCCAGGTATATTAATGTTGTGCATAGGCTTTACCATATTTGCTTTATTATCGCCAATATCTAAAAACATTATGTGTTGTATATTTTAACCATAGACACACCCCTGTCAATACACCCTGTGTAAGTTCATGCGTTACTAATATAGCAACTGTTTTTTGATCCCTCCCTTTGATTATATCTGATGGACAAAGTTGCTCTCTAAGAGGATACTTGTTTTTATCTATTTTGGGACATGTGACATATTTAATTAATGATGTCAATATGTGCGAGTTGAATTTCGTGAGTTCATGAAAATCATAGAAGTTTATAGCATTGAAACTGTCATTGGTGTATGTCCTTATAGACAAGGTGTAATAGTTACTTTTCTTTTGTCTCCACAAACACCAGTTTAATTATATGATTACTAAGAAATTCCTTGCAGCAAAAATTAAACTGTTTATGGTACTGGTATGTCCTGATTATTGACAAGCCAACTATCTCTGTTTCTTTCGTACAGTTACCTGATTTCAAGATGTACTACTATACTTTTTCTGTTAATCCTTGTTGTATTATTTTAACTCTCCTATCTTTTTTATCTTTACAGGCTCATCATAATGTACATAGAAAAATGAACACCCACCATTCAGGTAAGTAGTTACAGTAACATTACTACGGTACCTCCAGATGAGGTATAAACTTTACACCACCTGTTCCCTCTTTTCATCACAAATTCACAAAATAGTCCTGTTTATAATCTGCTCTTTCTTTCAGAAGATTGGGACAAAAATAACCAAATTATTTGAGTAAAAACTGAAAATTGACTCAAATTTTGTCTGTTGCATTAGGGTTCATCCCCAGAAATATTGAAGAATATACGAAAAAAGTGCAGAAAAATTTGGGTTAGAAAGTCTAGTATTGAAAAGGATAAACTGCATTGTCTTTTTGTTGATTGACACATCTCAGATTTGCTGGTAAACATTTGGCAACATTTCAGGTCTAACTTGTATAGGTGTATTCATGTCAATCATTATTGATATTGGCTCTACTGATGTTTTATAAAGACATGCAGCATACAACACACTGTCTTACACTCTGTCTTTGATAATGTGTTTTAAATTGACAGTTTTCTATAACTTTTATGTATTTTTCAGGTGGCAGGACCTGTCGTACTGTAACGCAACGAGTTGGCAACATGGTAACAACGTACACAGATTGTTCATAACGTTGTATCAAGACATACCATTTACACCCCTTGTATATATTTATAAAAGATGAAAAGGACAATCTATATATATATATATAATCTATCTAGAGATACTAAGGCCTTTGGTGCTACATTTAACTAAGAACATTTAATAGCAAGAAAATAAGTCGGTCCAACCACAATTATTGAAGTATACTAGGAGCTCGGGAGCACACCAAATAAATAAACAGCAATTTTAAATCAATTTAATATAAGAACATTGTCTACAGCATATGTGAACAAAATTAATGGCACTAGCGGGGTCAATTTCCAAAGGTGTTTAATAAGATTCATGTGGACAAAATTTTTCGAAAGTCTTTGAAACTCCATTATGTGCATGCTCTACTAATACAGTATGTGCCAAATGAATATAACATGGCATTAAAGCGGGAGGGTCGTCACCTGTGCACGCGCAGGAATCGAGTCACTAGCAACGATAACACATGCTAATGGCTCATGGGTAGATGTTTGTTTGTAAAGAATGACACACTATGGCCATCTGACGCATGCCCAGGTGACGACTCAGAAAATTGACAATATTTAAGTTAATGCAGAAATTGTCTTCATGTCGCTATTAAATCATCAAATTAGGCGCTTTACAGTATAATTACAAATAATGTGAACTGAATTCTGAAATTTGCCTTGTCACTGTTCAAGTTGAAGTACAGGAGGATATTTATATTTTTGATGCTAATTGGTTACTGACTTTGTAGACCCATTTATGCCTTGACAGTTGTATTATGCTGTAATTATAAATTCTTGGTTTTGAGTGAACTAACAACTAATCCTCATTTCACCAAGTTAATGTTATTAAATAGTTATAAAAACTGTAATGTTCAAAACTACCTAGTGTCTACTCTGACCCCCAACAGTATATTGTGCTGCTGCGCCATTCTGACCATAGCCTCATTGTGTCCTTGCACTTAATGTACAGCTTTTGTGAATATACCTTAGTTTACATGTCAGTTATTCTAGTCTAGATGGAGAACTTTTCAACATTTACATTGAACCTCTTTGTTTACACCTCACAAAAAATTCATTATTTAATGCCATGCTGTGAGGTGGGGTTTGTTAATAGTCTAAGTTTGATCTTTTTATTTGTTTATCAATGAAATAAATTTTAATTTAAAATGTTGTATTGTCTGAATGTGCATTTATCCTTTCCTAGATTCATAACTAGCTGTAGGCCTCCTCCATGTAAGCTAGCAAAGTGAAGCAAAGAATCTTTGTTTTCCTAAAGTACAACTACCCCGTAATTACCCCAATCGTTTATAGACCATGCGTTTCATTACAATTTATTCAACCAATGTATCATTCTTAAATGAATGAATGGAATAATTGTATTTTCAAGATTCAGTCAAAAAAAATGTGATGATTTTCAGATGTTTGAACAAAAGTTAAATAAACCATCAAACCAAAGCATTTGTAGATGGTCATAGGAAAGCATCTGTATTCTAGATAATATGACCCTTCTGATGCAGCTATTAATGGATGAATACAAATTATGAAATACTGCTGTAAATAGTCATGTCAATTTGAAATCATGGGGTTGGGGTGGAAAAGTGACTGGTGCAAATTTTCACGTCTTATCCTTTCATTTTCATTTTTTCTTGAATGTGCAAACATCTATTTTCTTTCAACGCTTTGCATGCAGGTTGTTTTCTTCCTGTGTCCAGCTTGCAATCTTCTGGGCACTTCTCATGATTTTAAATGGTCGACCCTTAAGTCACTGTCTCCCTGATGTGTTGTATTCTGCTAGTAGTCACTTTCTCATGGAGTAACCTTATCAATGGTGTAAGAGTGACGGCAATGAGCTTAGATTGGTGGCGCCTAACAACATATCTGCAGTACTCGTATTAATTTACTATTCAATTTTTTTCGTAGAGGGCGCCTTTTCAAATTCGGTGTTCAGGGCTCACACCACTAATTGAAGCTCCCTAGACGACAATGTTAACATATGAGGAGATTGCTATATGAAAATTATAAACAAAGTTGAAAACATGGCTCAAAAATGGGAAGTCAACATGCCAGTAATCAACCACATGAAGAAAACTAACATGTTGGCCAGCTCAAACTCTTGCAAATCTCAGGTAAACGACACCTACTGTTTTGGATTGCACCTAGAGAAATCACTGGAAAAACATCAATATTAGAACATCCAAATACACACAGAATAAACCCAAAGGTACACAGCCGCCAAGTAATAAACAAAAGACCACATATTAGTTTCACCTTTGAAAAAAATATTTAAAAAATGTCATTGGTTCTTGCAAGGCATTTAAATTGAACGATCATTGGTTAATGTGGCATGAGACCTACAAATGATAACTACGAAGAGTGCCATATACACCTACAGTATTGCTACTCAGGTATAACAGGTATGTATGGGGCTATAAATTTACGTATAGACGTGTGTTGTTTTCACAGGCACTGACATGTGTTTGGTTCAAAAACTGTTCAAAAGCGCTTGCCTTTTGGGGATAGAGTGGCAATGTTCAGTACATTACTTAGTGGTTTCAGTTTAGATGTGTAGTTGTCAAAATAATGGTGTTATTTTATTTACATACTTCTAAAATGTGCGGATAATGCCGTTTACGGAACGGGTAGTTATTGGACCCCCTTTCCCGTTGAATCTGAAATACTAGTATCTACATGGTGGTGTGGTTCTGTAGATCCTCACCATTGACGTCTGAATCAGAATGGTCCCAGAGGAAAGCCATCTACATATATAATCCATCTTGGGCGATTAACATAGTGATCAAAGGAGAGAGTCTTTGGAGCGGTTCAAGTTGAGACCTGAACCATTCAAAATGACCTACTGTATAATTTCTTTATATAAATTACCTATTGGGGGACGTGCCACTAAAATAGGTACTGTTTTTCAAGATTTAAGTTCTGCCCCAAAACGTATAAATTCAGGGTATAAATAAATATCTGGCAGATTGTAGCTGTCAGGGGTAGGTGTTCTCATGGAACTATAAACCCCGGGGTTTATAGTTCCATGGCGTTCTTAAATGCTAGTAAATATGGATCTATATGCAAGTAACGAAATCCCGCCTAAATATGGTTATATTGTTTCAATCGCGATTGATTCTAACTCCTCATCGTTGCTAAGCACCCATGCTACCTACTACTGAATGTCATTCATAGAATGTTGATGTACGCATTAATCGATGGGCGGAATGTGACTGATAGGAGGATTAGATAGTTAATTGTTACCGTGACGGTAGAACCACGCGCGTGCCCCCTTCAGCCCACTTCAATAGGAGCGCTCCCCTTACCGAATTTCTGGATCCGCCAGACGTAGAACGGAGAAACAGTGAACTAAGTTTTGGTGTCCGCCCGCAGACGTGCATGGGCCGATTTTGTATAAAGACAAAACATATTTTCATACATGTACACGCCCATTTGTCGTTAATTTTAACGACCGACTGACGGACATAGTTTGTGCCCCCAAAAGTATCTCGTAGCATTATAATATCAGGCTAGATTTGACTTAAGGCAGTTTGTTACCATTAAAAAATATTCAAAAATCCTCGAAATCCAGAAAACGGGTTTCGGTTATTCTATTGTTCAAAATTCGGAAATAAAAATATATGGTCACCAAAGTTTTCCACAATACGACCTCAAAAAATGTATCAAAAATGCGTTTTTTGAGTAGTTTACATTTGTTTTCTCTGTTCGGTGACCTATGCTAAATAATGACATGTAGTGTCACGAAGGCTATATATGACTGTCACGAAAAATGGGAGAATTGTGAATATAATTTTGAATATTATCCATTGAATAATGTGTTTACATGGAATCCTATGGAAAATGTTCCAAAATGGCCGCTTTTTATTCTGCATATTTGGGAGCATGTAAAAACGGGAATCTCAACAACTAAATGTAGCGAACTACCTTAAGCCAATTATTAAGACACCGAAGCCATAACATTCCAGCATTACCCCCCGACTACATCATTACACAGGTTTATACACAACACTGTATTCTCCTTACCATGACGAGTGATTTTGAATTTACAATCATAAAACTCGTTTATGACATTTGTTTTTTGCAGGAGCGGTACGCATAATTTTATTTCTGCATTTGAATATACTGTATATTGGCTCACAGGTTATGTGTACCGACCTCGCGAACGAATCGCTTGGTGCCCGACGTGGAGTCATATTGGTCCGGTAGCGACTGAATGAACATCAGTACACGGAAGTGCCTTTCTAGTTTATGGGTATTCCCATGACATGTCACAACCATAAATGTCGGGGTATGATGCATGACGCAACAAAATGCATAGTGATATACAGGCTGTAATAATTACTGTGTATGATTTCGCTTTTACCTCGATGACTGTAGGTCACATTCGTATTACACCAGAAGTATGGTTACTCCATTTTCTTGTTGAATGACTCCAGATTGAATTTGATTATT